GGCCTGACTGTCCCCTGTGACCGCAGGAAGGAAGGGGCTGCAGCAGGCGAAGAGGAACGCGGGGACCGTGGCGTGGTGAGGGGGTGAACGCGGGGCCCGAATCCGCGTGTGGTCCCGGCGGTCTACCTGGCCCCTCTGGCCTCGGCTTCTCCCTGGTGAAATGGGGACATGAATGACCAAACTGGCCTGAGGATTAAATGGTGCGGGTGGAAAGCGCTTAGCACATACTGGGCGCACACTTCGCAGGGGCCAACGTCACTGCCTATAAAGATTCTAAACGTGGGCCAGGTGCGGTGGCTCACACCTGTAATCCCAGCACTTTGGGAGGCCGAGGCGGGAGGATCGCTTGAGCTCAGGAGTTCAAGACCAGCCTGGGCAACACAGCGAAACTCCTTCTCTACTAAAAATACAAAAATCAACTTTGCGTGGGCTCGCGCCTGTAATCCCAGCTACTAGGGAGCAGAGACAGGGGACTCGCTTGAACCTGGGAGGCAGCGGTTGCAGTGAGCTGAGATGGTGCCCCTGCACAGCTGAGATGGTGCCACAGCACCCCAGCCTGGGCGACAGAGTGAGACCCCATCTCAAACAAAACCAAACCAAACGAAAAGTCTAAACGTTACAATACGGGTAGTGCAAGCCCAGCGTTAGGAAGGCGCACGCAGCATGCTAGGCACTGCACACTACGGTCAATGACATGTTTAAAGTGTAATAGCTTATAGCTTACGTACCAGACATAGAAACATACCTTACAAATGCGTAAACTGATATATGGTGATGCATATCAAGTTTAGCAATATATGACAAATACATAAAAATAGTATAAATGACCATTTATACAATAAACATTGTATAACTGCGTAAAACAATACAACAAATGAATATATACAAAGATTATAATTTATAAAATGACCAAAGTTATATGATAACTTCGTAAGTAAGTATACAATATGTAGCAGATAATTATCAACCTAAGTAATTTACATACATGTAGAAACATTGTATATAAGAAACTAAGAAATGCATAATAAATGTAAAATACATAATTACACAATATAAGAATGTGTGTAACAAACGTAAACGTAATACCCATGTGATATATGACATCAGGCGACTGGGTGGGTTCTGAACCGTGCACAGCGCCCAGGGCCTCACATGCAAAAGGCTGGGTGGTGAGGGCACCCCTACCCCCCAAGACTGCCTCCCGCATATGCAGGAATCACGGGGCTCTTCTAGGTGTTCCCACTACACAAGGGCATCATGAGGGCTTAAATGACCCAACGCACCAAGTAAAGCACTTAGAATAGTGGCATGGGTGTTACTTATTATCATTGAGATTATGAATACCTGATGATGATGGTAATGCACGATTCACTAATTATTATTATAATCTCCCACTAACACAGTACCTATGGTATCTTGTACATGTTATCCATTATAATGTCTATGCATTGTACATTCTCTTAGGTTTAGTTATATAACCCTTAATATATTTCATCGCAGTTATTGCTTACAGGACAGTGTTACTGATTGAGTGTGCAGGGGGTGGGTGCCGAGAGGTCTGAGTTCAATTCTCACCGTGTGTCTTCCTGGTTGGGAACTTCCACAAGTCGCTGAACCACGTGGTGCCTAAACTTCCCCGCCTGCACAATGGGGGCCTCAATAATAGTACCCATGTCGTAGGAACCTGTGATTATTACATGCCCTTAGCACAGAGACTGGCACAGAGAAGGTGCTCTGGGTCGCTATTTCTGTATCATTATTATTAGGCAGGCCCGGTGCCATCGGGGTCTGCACTCACCTCCCCAGGCCGCTGGCTTTGTATCCTGCGCGTGCCTAGGTGGCCCGGGACTCTGACCTGGCTCCTCTCCTGTCTCCTCCCCTCCCTGGCCCACTCATGATGCTCTACCAGGACATCCAGGCCCGCTCGGCCGCCTGGAAGGCTGATGGCATGTGCTCCACCAAGGCAGGCAGTCGGCCAGAGAACATGAGGAAGAACCGCTACAAAGACGTGCTGCCATGTAAGTCGGGGCTTCCGTAGGGAGCCGGTGCAGCCGCGCACGCACCACCACTGTCCAGGTATCAGTGTGCACTGGAGTCACCCACTGCGCTGTCCTCCCAGAGCCTCACCCTCTGCACTGCTCAGCAGCCCACCGGGGCACCTTGGTGGGATCTCTGCAGGTGTGTGGTCCCCTGCTGGCTTTCAGCCAGGGGGCTGTCAGACCCTCTGTCACCCTATCTTCCCCAAACTCCACGTTTCTCACCTTATCTGCTGACAGATGATCAGACGCGAGTAATCCTCTCCCTGCTCCAGGAAGAGGGACAAAGCGACTACATTAATGGCAACTTCATCCGGGTGAGGGTTGGGGTCACGGAAGGAGGTGGACTGGGAGTGGCCGGGGGGTGGGCAGCAGAATCTCAGTAGTGAATTCGGCCTTCACCAGGGCGTGGATGGAAGCCTGGCCTACATTGCCACTCAAGGACCCTTGCCTCACACCCTGCTAGACTTCTGGAGACTGGTCTGGGAGTTTGGGGTCAAGGTCAGCACTTGGGGGCAGGGCACAATGGTGGGGTCAACATCTAAGTAACCCCTCGGCGTTTCCCTGGCCCCCTCACCCAAATCACCTTCCTCTCCCCTGACCCACCTTGTCTAGGTGATCCTGATGGCCTGCCGGGAGATAGAGAATGGGCGGGTAGGTGTCCTCTGCCCCCAGGTTTCATGTCCTCATGCAAGGAGGAGGGAGGAGGGAGGAGGGATCTTGCTAGCTCCTCCTTGACCCCAGGACTCGAGGGTCCAGCTCTTGGAGTGACCTTACTGTGGCTCTGTGGGAAGCCCCATTGTTGCTCTAAGTTTCTGTTGATCTGTTATTCATCCCCCAGTGTTGGCAACCCCTCTCCTGCTGGGCTTCCCAGCCATTTCACACCTTAGACCATAAGGCCCTATTCTGACTTCTTCCCCTGTAGGCTCTGATCTCTCTTTCCACCTCTCTCCTCCTTATTCACTCCACTCTAACAACTCTGGTCTCTGCTGTTCCCCACATGTTCAGGGATGGCTCTGCCTCAGGGCCTGTGCCTTGGCTATTCCTTCAGCCTAGGACATCCTTCTCCATGGCTTGCTCTATCACCTCCTTCAGGTTTTTGCTCAAATGTTAACTCCTCAGTGAGACCTTCCTGGGTGACTCTTTACACCATTTTAAACTCTCAGAACTTCCACTCTCCCTCCTTTGTCCTACTTTTCCTTTTTTCTTCACAGCTCTTGCAAACTCCTAACACACTGGATAATCTACAAATGTATTATGAACATTGTTTATTCTTAATCTCCCGATTTAGAAGGTAAGATCCGTAAGTCCAGGGATTTTTGTTTTGCCTGTTAACATAAATTAGTTAAATAAATAAATGCATGTCAACAATGAAGGCTGAAGGCACATAGCTTCATGTGGTTTCTACATTCTTGCCTGCTCCATGGATGGGGTGGGGGTTCCCTGGGGTGACTAGCTGATGGTGGAGACTGTATGATCTATAGTGATGTCTCTTTCTCATTCCTGATTTTGGTAATTTGTGTTCTCTCTCTGTCTTTCTGTTTCATCTCTCTATCTTGCTATCTCTTTTTTCATGCTCCTACCTCTTTTTTGTAAACAATGTATTAGAACACAGCCACACTCATTTATTTACGTATTGTCTATGCCTGCTTTTATGCTACATTGGCAGAATTGAGTAGTTGCAAGGTGAATAAATTATATGGGCTGTAAATTCTAAAGTATTTATCTGACCCTTTATAAAAGTGTTAGCCAATCTTTGGACTAGAGATTTTTTATTATTTTTTCAAAGAAACTGCTTTGGTTGTATTCATTTGTATTCATTTTCTCTATTGATTTTTTCATTTTCTACCTTTTTTTTTTTTTTTTTTTTTTTTTTTTTTTTTGACAGTCTTGCTCTGTTGCCCAGGTGGGAGTGCAGTGGTGCACTCTTAGCTCACTGCAACCTCTGCCTCCCAAGTTCAAGCAGTTCTCCTGCCCCAGCCTCCTGAGTAGCTAGGAATACAGGCACATGCTACCACGCCCAACTAATTCATTTTCTACTTGAATTTCAAGTGTACTTGAAAACATGTATTCTGCTGTGGTTGGCTGGAGTGTCCCATAAATACCAATTAGGTCAATTGACAGACTTTTTTGAAAGACACTTTTGTATCTTTACTGTGTATTTTATATCTGTCCTGATTTATTTTCTCTAAATATATCGATTGCTTAGAGAAGAGTGTTGAAATTACCGATCCTCTTGTTCAATAAATATCGATTAGGTCAAGTTTGTCAACAGCACTATTCAAGTCTTATTTCTGACAATTTTTTTGGTCTGCTTGTCCTATTATTTGCTGAAAGAGGAATGTTGAAATCTACTTTAATATTCTTTCAGTTTTACTTTCCATGTTTTGAAACTTTATGATTGAGTACATATACATTTAGGATTATGTCTTCCTAATGATTGGATCCCTTTTCTAATATGTAATGACTGTCTTTATTTCTGTTAATATTTTTTTCTGAAGTATACTTTGATATTAATATAGCCATTTAAATTTCTTTCTTTTCTTTCTTTTTTTTTTTTTTTCTGAGATGTAGTTTCCCGCTTGTTGCCCAGGCTAGAGTGCAATGGCGTGATCTTGGCTCACTGCAACCTCTGCCTCCCAGGTTCAAGTGATTCTCCTGCCTTACCCTCCCAAGTAGCTGGGATTGCAGGTGCCTGCCACCACACCCAGCTAATTTTTGTATTTTTAGTAGAGACGGGGTTTTACCATGTTGGCCAGGCTGGTCTCAAACACCTGACCTCAGATGATCCACCTGCCTCAGCCTCCCAAAGTCCTGAGATTACAGGCAGGAGCCACCACCCCCTGCCTTAAATTTCTTTAGAGTTTGCATATGTCTTTTCCCATTCTTTTACTTTATATCTATGTTCATCTTTAATTTTTAGTGTGTTTCTTGTAGGTGGTGTATCGTAGGGACTTTTTTTTTTTTTTTTTTTAAAGAGAGAGGGGAATGGAGTGGTGCAATCATAGTTCACTGTAACCTCAAACTCCTGGGCTCAAGTGATCGTCCTAGCTCAGCCTCCCTAAGGAGTTGGGACTGCAGGCATACATCACCATGCTTGATTAATTGTTTTTTATTTCTTGTAGAGATTAAGTCTTACTGTATAATCCAGGCTGGTCTTGAACTCCTGGCCTTAAGCTGTCCTTCCACCTCAGCTTCCCAGAGTGCTAAGATTACAGGCATGAGCCACTGCATCTAGCCAGGACTTACTTTTAAATCTAATTTGACAGTCTCTGCCTTTAATTGGAATATTTAGCCTTTAATGTAATTATCAATAACGTTGGGTTTAGACCTACCTTTCTTGCTATTTGTTTTCTATTTGCTCTGTTTGTTCTTTTATTCTGTCTTTCAGAGTGAGAATTTTTTATTAATCTATTGCATAGTAATTATTTCCTTATTAGCTATACATCTTTATTTTAAATATTTAGTGGTGGCTTTAGGGTTTACAATATATATCTTTAACTTATAGGCTATAGTCAAATAATATTATACATTTCCTGTAAAATGTCAGAACTTTACTGTAGTATATTTCAATTACCCCTTTCCATACTTTGTGCTATTGTTACTATATATTTTAGTTCTATATATAAAATATACACCAAAGTACACTGCTATTATAGTTGCTTTAGAATATCCTTTTTAAACATCCGTATTGATTGATATACAATTCAGTCATTTAAAGTGTACAATTCCATCATTTTTCTGTATTCCTGAGTTATGCAACTATTACCACAGTAAGTTTTTGAACATTTTCATCATTCCATAAAAAAATCCAGGCCAGGCATGGTGGCTCACGCCTGTAATCCCAGCACTTTGGGAGGCTGAGGCCAGTGGATCACGAGGTCAGGAGATCAAGACCATCCTGGCCAATAGAGTGAAACCCTGTCTCTACTAAAAATGCAAAGATTAGCTGGGTGTGGTGGCACGTGCCTGTAATCCCAGCGACTCAGGAGGCTGCGGCAGGAGAATAGCTTGAACCAGGGAGTTGGAGGTCACAGTGAGCCAAGATCGCCCTACTGCACTGCAGCCTGGCGACAGAGCAAGACTCTTGTCTCTCAAAAAAAAAATAAATAAATAAAAATAAATAAACAAGAAAAAAGAAAAAGAAATCCTATATCCATTAGCAGTCACTCCCCATTTCCCACCAACCGTTACAGCCCTAGACAATCCCTAATCTATTTTTGTCTTTATAGATTGGCTTACTTTGGATATTTCATATAAATGCAATCATATAATATGTAGCCTTTTTTTGCCTAGCATGTTTTTTTTGTTTTTGTTTTTGTTTTGTTTTGCTGAAGACTATTCCATTGAATGGATCTGTCACATTTTACTTATCAGTTGATAGAATTTGGGTTCTTTCTACTTTTTGGCTATTATGAACAGTGCTGCTATCAACACTGATATACAAGTCTCTGTGTAGATGTGTGTTTTCATGTCTCTTGCGTATTGCTGGGAATTGCTGGGCCATATGGAAACTCTATTTTTAACATTTTGAGGAACTGCCAAACTGTTTTCCACAGTGGCAGCATCATTTTACATTTCTTCAGCAATGTTTGAGGGTCCCCATTTCTTCTCCCCGATGCTTGTTACTGTCTTTCTGTTTTTATAGCCATCCTAGGGGATGTGAAGTGGTATGCCATTGTGTCTTTCTTTAAATGATGCAGTAAAATATACATAACATAAAATTTGCCATTTTATAGATGCTCAGTGAGCAATGTTAAAAATAATTTTGCCATTTAAACAATTTCAAGTGTACACATAAAATTTGCCATTTTATAGGTGCTCAGTGAGCAATGTTAAAAATAATTTTGCCATTTAAACAATTTCAAGTGTACAATTCAATTGAATTAGGTACCATTCCTACTGTAACCATTCCTACTGTCTATTTTCAGAACATGTTCATCATCCCAAACAGAAATTTTGTACTCATTAAACAATAACTCCCCATTCCTCCATTTCCAGGCAGCCTCTATTCTCCTTTCTGTCCCTATGAATTTGCCCATTCTGGGTACCTTGTGCAAGTGGAATCAAGAATACACTTATACAATACTTGTCCTTTTTTCGAGGTTCATCCATGTTGCAGTGTGTATCAGAATTTCACAATTTTCAAGGCCAAATAATATTTCATTCTATATATATATCACATTTTGTTTATCCATTCACCTGTTGGACATCTGGGTTGTTTGTACCTTTTGGCTATTGTAAATAATGCTGCTACAAACATTGGTATACGGGCTGGGCACGGTGGCTTACGCCTGTAATCCCAGCACTTTGGGAGACTGAGGCGGGTGGATAACGAGGTCAGGAGATGGAGACCAGCCTGGCTAACATGGTGAAACCTCATCTCTACTAAACATAGAAAAACTTAGCCGGGCGTGGTGGTGGGCACCTGTAGTCCCAGCTACTCGGGAGGCTGAGGCAGGAGAATGGCGTGAACCCATCAGGTGGAGCTTGCAGTGAGCCGAGATCACGCCACTGCACTCCAGCCTGGGAGACAGAGTGAGACTCCATCTCAAAAAAAAAAAAAATTGGTGTACAAGTATCTGTTTGAATCCCTGTTTTCAGTTCCTTGGGTATACACCAAGAGTGGAATTGCTGGATCATATGATAACTCTATGTTTAACATTTTGTTTTCCACAGTGGCTGTACCATTTCACGTTCCCATCAACGGAGAGAGAGAGAGGGAGGGACATGTGTAGTTTAATGACAGGGATACGGTCTACATTGTTAGGCTATCTTCTCTTTGGGAACATCATAGAGTATACTTACACAAACATAGAGGGTATATACATTTTTATTTATATGTATTTTTTCATATGGAAAACCAAATGTCCCAGCACCATTACTGAGTATCAGTCATTTCCCCAACTAAATATGCAATGTCAATATCAAGTGCCATGTGTCAGGTTTCTACATATACTCCATTATAATCTATGGCCCCACCATCGTACATGTGATCTGTTGTTAACCAAAACATCGTGTGGCATATGACAATGACATATATGTCACCCTAATGGTGGTTTTGGTCTTCATGTGCTTATTCGTCCATTTGTATATCTTCTCTGGACAAATGTCTATTCAGGTCATTTATTCATTTTAAAATTGGGTTTTTTGAGGTTGTCTTTTATTATTGAGTTGTAAGAGTTATTCTGGGTATAAGTCCCTTATCAGTACATGATTTAAAATGTCTTTCCCATTCTGTGGGTTGTCATTTCACTTTCTTGATGGTGTGTTTTGAAGCACAAACATTTTGTGAAATTTTAATTCCAATCTATTGTGTTGCTGTGCTTTTGGTGTATCTAAGAAGCCGTCGTCTAATCAGAGGCCATAAAGACTTACTCCTGTTTTTCCTTCTAAGTGTGTTGTAGTTTTCTTGCTTACATTTAGGTCTCAGATTTACTTTGGGTGAACTCTTCTACGTGATGTGAGATAGGGGTCCACATTCACTCTTTTCCATGTGACTATCCAGTTGTTCCAGAACCATTTGTTGAAAAGACTATATGCTTTGCCCATTGAATGGTCTTGGCCCCTGTGTTGAAAGTTAATTGGCCATAAATATAAGGGTTTATTTCTGAACTCTCAATTTTATTAAGTTGATTGATGTGTTTATCTTTGTGCCAGTATAACATAGTTTTGATGATTATACCTTTGTAGAAGTTCTGAAATCAGGAAGTATGAGTCTTCCAAATTTGTTCTTTTTTCAAGATTGTTTTGGCTATTTTGGGCAGGTCCCTTGCTGTGCAGAAGAGTTAAACATAGCAAGCATAACTGTTTATGCTTAGGCCTTCCTGTAGACTCTTGGGCAGCCTCTAGAAACCTAGCTTTCTGATAACTGTGCTCACTATGCCTAAACTGTTAATACAAACAATATGCTTTACGCAGAACACCTGTTCTCCTGCTGGTAGTCTGACATTTTGGTACAGCCTAGGCAGAGCGTGCCTACATGCTGTGCAGAAGGTGCCCCAATAAAAATCCTGAGCACTGAGTTTCTAATGAACTTCATTATAAAAGACTGTTGGGTTTTGTCAAATTTTGTTCTTCACATCTATTCAGATGATCATTTGTTTTGTATTCTACCAATATGGTGTATGACATTGACTTTCATACATTGAACCAATCTTACATTCCTGGGATTAACCCCACTTAGTCATGGTGTTTAACACTTTGCCAGTATTTCGTTGAGAATTTTTGTTTCTATGTTTGTGAGATATTGGTTGGTAGTTTTTTTTTCTTGTGATGTCTTTGGTTTTGGTGGCAGGGTAATACTTGCCTCACACAATATGTTGGGAAATGGTTCCTCTCAGTTTTTTGCAAGAGTTTGTGAAGGGCTGGTATTAATTCCTCTTTGATAAAATTCACTAGGTTATTTTTTAAAAGATGTTTAAAATGAGAGAAATGTCTTTTACATTTAGCCACTTACTTTTCTCCCTACTCTGCTACTTTGTGTGGATCTGTATTTCCATTTGTATCATGTTCCTTTTGTATGCAGAGCTTACTTATTCTATTTATTTAAGAGTTAGGGTCTCACTCTGTTACACAGGCTGGAATGCAGTGTACAGTCACTACTCACTGCAGCCTCAAACTCCTGGGCTTAAGCCATCTTCCCACCTCAGCCTGCTAAGTAGTTGGGAGTACAGGTGTGCCACCACACTCAGTTAATTAAAAAAAATTTTTTTTTTTAGATACAGGCCAGTTATGTTGCCAACACACCTAGCTAATTTTTTTTTTTTTTTTTTTTTAAGATATAGGCTATGTTGCTCAGGCTGGTGTTGAAGTGGCTGTAAGCAATCCTCCTGCCTTAGCCTCTCAAGTAGCTGGGATTACAGGCAGCAGCCATGGTCTGTAAGCATCTGAAGAGCTTACTCTAACATTTCTCAGAGTACAAATTTGTTTGTGATTAATTCCCTCAGCTTTTGTCTGAAAAGGTTTTTAGCATTTTTAGGATATTATACCATTGACGTGCAGTTTCTGACAAAATGTTGCTATAATTCTTAACTTTGTTCCTCAGTATGTGATGTGCCTTTTTGTGCGAAATGGTTTATGCTTTTCTTTTCTGGGGCCGGGTGCAGTGGCTCATGCCTGTAATCCCAGCAATTTGGGAGGCCAAGGCGGGTGGATCACTTGACGTCAGGAGCTGAGACCAGCCTCATCAACCTGATGAAATCCCGTCTCTACTAAAAATACAAAAAAAAAGTTGGGTGTGGTGGTGTGTGTCTGTAATCCCAGCAACTCGGGGGCCTGAGGCAGGAGAATCGCTCGAACCCAGGAGATGGAGGTTGCAGTGAGCCGAGATTGCGCCACTGCACTCCAAGCCTGGGTGACAGAGCAAGTGTCTCAAAAAAAAAGAAATTTTCTTTTTCAGTAATTTGATCATGATCTGCCTTGGTGTGACTTTCTTTAGGTTTATTCTCCCTCTGATTCATTGACTTTCTTGAATTTGTGGATTCATAGTTTCATCGAATTTGGGAAAATTTTCACCTATTATTTCTTCATATAAATTTCTGTTATCCTCCCTTTCTCCTTTCCTTCTGGACTCCACGTGCACATACACTACACTGTCTGGTATATTTCTACAGAGAACTGATTCTCTTCATTTTTTTCATTTCATTTTGAATTATTTATATGGCTATATTTTTATGTCTATTGATCTTTTCTTCTAGTGTCTACTCTGCTATTAGTGGATTTTTCATTTCATACATCTTATTCTTCTTCTTTATAAATTCCATTCAGGTATTTTTTCTATCTTTCATTCCACTCTGCAGCATGTTCATGTTTTCCTTTTCATCTTTGAGTATATTTGTACTAGCTCTTTTAAGATTTTTCGCTTCTTTCCTGAACTGTCATTTCTGGGCCCTTTCCTACTGACTGATTTTTCTCCTGGTTATGGGTCACAATTTCCTGCTTCTTTGTATATCCAGTACAATTTTATTGGATGCTTGATATTTTGAATTTTGCACAGGTAAGTGTTGGATTGTTTTCTTTAGAGTGTTTTGCCTTTTCAGGAACTTTTGGATGGCTGATCAAGTAGCCTCTGTTCTAGAATTAATTTAGCCATACTTCTCATGTATGGTCATTCTAGGTTCCCTACTAAATGCCCCTTATAGTTGATAATGCCTCTACACTCTAGCTAGAGGGAATGTGAATTCTTTCTCATAGTGAGCTCAAGGAAATGTTCATTGTACAGATCCCTACTATTCTTTCATGGGAAGTTATTCTTGCCTGGCCTCATGGGGTTTCATGCTGTATACATTCAGATTATTCAACCAAAGAATCAAGGAGGGGACTTCTATGCAAGTTTTTCTTTTGTTTTTATTTGCATAGCTCTGTTCCTTGCAAGACTCAGCCCTGCAAATTCTAGCTGCCTTGGCCTCCTTGAGCCATGGTCTCTGGCTCAACTCTGTGGGATCATTAGACTCATGTCTTACAGCCTGGTGACACTTCCATGCAATAAGCCAGAGTGGTCTGTTCAGTGACCACAGTACTGCAACGCCTGCCAACCAGTGTCTGAAAATAGCGGCTCATGTATTTTGTCCAGTTTCTAGCTGCTTACAGTGGGAGGGTATCCTGGACTGTATTTCCCCTGCATGGTCAGCAGCGCACCTCCATTGAGTCTGCATGTGTTTAATCTGATGGCTTTGTTGGCTGGCCTCTGTTATAGGTTATAACAGAGCACACTGCCTGTGCTTACACCACGAGCACTTGGGGTGTCTTGTGGCAGGATTGAGCTAGCTCTAAAGCTGACTCCCTCTCTCACTCCCTGCCTTTTCTCCCTTACCTTCTGCAGAAAAGGTGTGAGCGGTACTGGGCCCAGGAGCAGGAGCCACTGCAGACTGGGCTTTTCTGCATCACTCTGGTGAGCTGTGGGAGGTTTCAAGGAAGATTCCCAGGGTGGCAAGGCTTTGGGTTGGGCCTAAAGGGATGAATGATTTAACCCACAGTCCACTCACACTGCAGGAAACCCTCTGGTGTTAGCCTGCAAATAGTTAGAACTTAATATAGGGATAGCCTTTGCTTTTTTATTTTGGCTACAATCACAGTTATCTCTGTCATGTAAATGTGCCTGGTTAGGTTCTTGAAAGTCTTACTTCTCTTACCATTTCAAAAGAGCTTGGGGGAACTCTCAAGGCATACATACCGTTAGTACTTAATAAATACAATAGAAGTTTCAGTTTAGAACAAAATCATCTCTTTTCACTGCAAAAGGGCTTGTGTTTTTATAATAGTTCCTCTTTTTCTCCTGTGTCAAATGTTTCCTTAATGAAAGCTTTGGGGAAGTTTGGGCTATATGATTTTTTTTTTTTTTTTTTTAAACGGAGTCTTGCTGTGTCACCCAGGCTGGATTGCAGTGGCACGATCTCCGCTCACTGCAAGCTCCGCCGCCTCCCGGGTTCACACCATTCTCCTGCCTCAGCCTCCTGAGTAGCTGGGACTACAGGTGCCCGCCACCACGCCTGGCTAATTTTTTTTGTATTTTCAGTACAGACGGGGTTTCACCGTGTTAGCCAGGAAGGTCTCAATCTCCTGACCTCGTGATCTGCCCGCCTTGGCCTCCCAAAGTGCTGGGATTACAGGTGTGAGCCACCGCCCCCAGCCGGGCTATATGAATTTTAAAAATGTTTTCTGTATTTGATTTTTTAATCAGGAATGCTTTGCTTTCTATAAATGTCTTTTGGTACCTGTGATCTTTGTTCTCCTCCCTCTTCTTACTTGCCCCACCCCCCTTACTCAGATTAAGGAGAAGTGGCTGAATGAGGACATCATGCTGAGGACCCTCAAGGTCACATTCCAGAAGGTACTGTGACAAGGAAGGAGGAGGCAAAGGGGCTCCTGAAAGGGGAGAGATTTCCTCCCCTGTAAAAATGGGCATCATACTAGTACCCACCTCCTCAGTTATTCTCTGGTAGATATAAATGGAAGATGCCTAGAAGTGGGCCTGGTGTATAGTAGGTACCCAATTAATGCTTTTTTTTTTTTTCCCTAAGTCTTTTGCTCATCTTTTTCTGTTTCAGGAGTCCCGTTCTGTGTCCCAGCTACAGTATATGTCCTGGCCAGACCGTGGGGTCCCCAGCAGTTCTGACCACATGCTTGCCATGGTGGAGGAAGCCCGTCGCCTCCAGGGATCTGGCCCTGAACCCCTCTGTGTCCACTGCAGGTTCTGGAAATGGGCTTCAGGAGGGTCTGGTGAGGCAGAGGCGACAGGGCAGGGAGGGGAGTGCAGGGCATGGGGCTAGTCTTATAGTCTGAGTGCCTATTTTGAGAACCTTGCTCACCTCCATGGACTATAATTGTGAGCACTTGTTCAGCATAGACTCAGCTGGGGAATAAGCACACAGCCGCTGCTCAACAAAATGTAAGTGATTAAAAAGGTTTTCCTTGCTCAGATATCTGGAGATTCTGGGAATCAAGAGGCTCTGCAAGGGATCCATTAGGACCCTCACCCCCATCCCCAAATGCCCTGTCTAAAAGGGGTTGTGGTCAGGACCTGACCAGGCACGCTCTGATTCTCTTGTCAGTGCGGGCTGTGGGCGAACAGGTGTCCTGTGCACCGTGGATTATGTGAGGCAGCTGCTCCTGACCCAGGTACGATGTAGGCATCCTGTGTGTGCAGTGTGCTGCCCATGACCTCGTGTCCTGCTCAAGTGCCTTGTCTGTCTGCCCCAGATGATCCCACCTGACTTCAGCCTCTTTGATGTGGTCCTTGAGATGAGGAAGCAGCGGCCTGCGGCCGTGCAGACAGAGGTGAACGCTGGGTCTCCTAATCTTCAGGGACAGTGGCCCGCTGCTGTCATTCCCTGCCTTCCCTTCCTGATGGTCCCTCACCCCAACAGGAGCAGTACAGGTTCCTGTACCACACGGTGGCCCAGATGTTCTGCTCCACGCTCCAGAATGCCACCCCCCACTACCAGAACATCAAAGAGGTACAGAGGCCCCTTTCCCACTCTCCTGTCTGCCATCAGCACCCTCAGAGACCAGGACCCCAAGCAGGGTCCAGCCCCCGGGACTCCTGGGAGCAGGCACTGACTATGACATCCACCTGTGCCCTCCTCTGGGCATCCTTATCAGGCTCTCCTGTCTTAAGCTTTCTCCCAGAGCCCCGTGAGAGGCCTGGCCAGCTTCCTCCCTCAGGAGCCTCCCCTCCTGTTTTTCCTCAGAATTGTGCCCCACTCTACGACGATGCCCTCTTCCTCCGGACTCCCCAGGCACTTCTCGCCATACCCCGCCCACCAGGAGGCGTCCTCAGGTACCCGGCTCCATTCCCACATTCTTCCCTGCCCAATTCCTCAGGCTAACCCCTTCCTCATCCTTGGAACACCAGTCCGTTCCTTGTTCACTTCGCCAAGTGCTCTCTGGCCCTTTCTTTAAATTGAGCCCTGGGAACCCACTCCAAGATGATTCATTTATCACAGTGGTCCCCTTGCCTCTGCCTCTAAGGCTTGCCGTGCCTTCTGAGTTAGACCTTTCCTGGATCCTCCAATCAAACCTTAATTCAGGTAGCTCACGCCTGTAATCCCAGCACTCCGGGAGGCCAAGGAGGGTGGATCACTTGAGGCCAGTTGGAGACCAGCCTGGTTAACATGGTGAAACCCTGTCTCTACTAAAAATACAAAAATTAGCCAGGCGTGCTGGCGGGAGCCTATAGTCCCAGCTACTTCGGAGGCTGAGGCAGGAGAGTCCCAGAAGGTGGAGGTTGCAGTAAACGGAGATTGCACCACGGCAGTCCAGCCTGGGCGACGGAGCTAGATCCTGTCTCAAAAAGCAACAAAAAACAATTCAGCAAATAATTCTAGATGCCGCCCTCTTGTCAGGCTGCACGTTGAGTGCCGCGGGCATGCGACTGAGCCGCCTTTGCAGCGGAGACTTAAGGCTCTTGTCCTTGCGGCCATCCTTCCCTGCCCTCTATGCCACTTCCGCACTCTCGTATTCAGTAGACACTGACACAGAAATGACCACCCCTCAAACCAGCACTGCTCCAATTACCTTTCAGGCCGACCCCGTTCCTCCTTCATCCACCTAACGTGCAGGGCGCTAGGGACACACAAGCGAGGCCCCCCACCCAGGGAGCCCTGCCTCCCGTCTCCCGCCTCGACGGGAAGGAAGCCCGTGGTTTGCGCACTGAGCAGCTTCCCCACTCCCGCCCTGCCCAGCGCCGCCGTTTCACTTCCTCCCGGCCCTCCCTGCCTGCAGGAGCATCTCGGTGCCCGGGTCCCCGGGCCACGCCATGGCTGACACCTACGCGGTGGTGCAGAAGCGCGGGGCTCCAGCGGGCGCCGGGCCGGGGCCGGAGACCGGGACGGGGGCGCGCAGCGCGGAGGAGGTGCCGCTCTACAGCCAGGTGACGCCGCGCGCCCAGCGGCCCGGGGGGCACGCGGAAGACGTGCGGGGCACGGTGCCTGGCCGCGGTGAGTCGAGGCTTGCTCCTTCTCAGGGCATCACCTTGCTGTGGTCCGCGGGGCCCCGGCGGCCGCGAAATCCCCCAGCCCCCATACTAACCTGGCCACGCCCCGACGCTGACGTCGCGGCGTCCCTGGCCACGCCCCGGAAGCGCCCCTGGCGGTCGCGGTCCGGGTCCCGGGGCAGGTTCCGGGCGACACTAGCGGGCTTGTCTCGGCCGCGCCCAAAGGCTCGAGGCTGCGTTCGGGGTGTGCGGCTTCTCCCGCCAGGCGCCCTCGGCCCTCCTCTTCGGGCCTCGGGGGAAGCATCCCCGCCAGGGGTGGGGTCGTGGGACTCCGTGGGGCTTCCGGAGCTGAGTCGTGTGGGGGGTCTCCTGCCCTCAGTTCCTGCTGACCCAAGTCCTGCCGCATCTGGCGCCTACGAGGACGTGGCGGGTGGAGCTCAGACCGGTGGGCTAGGTAAGTCAGGGAGAGCCTGGGCTGCCGGGACTTTGCTGCTTTGAGTGAACCCCGGGAGTCTGGGGTTGAGGGATGGGGCATGGAGCTCAGTCCTGTGGATGTGGCTGCAGTGACTCAGAAGGACCTGGAGGCAGGGGGATGGCCGTCTTCGTGTTTGCCAGCCTCCGCACACCTCAGCTTCGTCATGAGACCCACGGCACCCTTCCTCCCCCAGGTTTCAACCTGCGCATTGGGAGGCCGAAGGGGCCCCGGGACCCCCCTGCTGAGTGGACCCGGGTGTGAGTGTGCGCCAGCTCCTGCCTGTTGCCTCGTGTGAGCTCGGACTGCTGTGTGCAGAATGGAAACAGTGCGCCTGAATCAAAATAAAAGTTTCTCAGGGTGGGAAATGCGGGGGCTGTGTCCCAGTGACTGTAGCATTCAAGGCTTGAGGCTGGAGGAGGTAGGTTTGGTATAATGGCTGGTGAGGCTGCACGGAGCAGATTCAAGAAAGAAGATCGGGAAGGGGCACGGCCCCTGAGTTATGAAGGGGAGAATGGACAGATGAGCTTCCAGAGACTGCTCTCCTCACCACATAACACACTAGTCCATCCTCAGCACCTGTGTCTGCCTCACTTGAACACTCAGGGGACCACACAGAGAAATGGATGGACCCCTCGCCATCCAGGCAGACCGATAAAAAGACCTCCAGATAGGCAGACAGATGGATGGACCACCAAGCTGGACAGACAGCCAAACCTTCAGAGATACAGTCCACAGGTGAACAAAGGGACCCCCAGCCAGAGAGACCACCAAACAGAGCCCCCAAAAGACAGACACCTCTGCCAGCTGGACAGCCAGGTGGACCCCTAAGTTAGAGAGATGTAAACAGATCCCCAGCTGAACAGACACACAGACTTCTCAGACCCTACCCCCATCCCCCAGGTGAGCTGGCTGGCTGAAAAGACCTTCTGGCCAGACAGACTCCTAACCAACCAGATGGACTGCCAGACAGACAGACATCAGCCACATGGAATCCTGACATCCCAGCCAGCCAGCCAGACTCTCATCTTGATGGGTGAACCCCAGTTGGTTGGTCAGACGTGATCCTCCAGATTGACAGAGAAGTCCCCCAAATGAGTACATATCTCCAGCTATTCAGACAGATGGACCCCCAGCAAATCAGGCCCTATCTAGACCCCAGCCAAACATACCCCCAACCAGACTGACCCCTTGCTGTTCACACAGCCTCCCGAGTAGCTGGGACTACAGGTCTAACTTTTTTTTTTATTTTTTAGAGATGAGTTTGCCATGTTGTCCAGGCTAGTCTCGAACTCCTGAGCTAACGCAATCCTCCTTCCTTAGCCTCCCAAAGTGCTGAGATTATAGGTGTGAGCCACCAGGCTCTGCCCTCTAAGATTTGAAACACTTTAAATGGCCCTAGCAGGTTTTATCCTGCTAGGATAAAACATTAAGCAGCTGTTAAAAAAATAAAAAATAAAAAAGAGGAACCGCCTCTGTGCACTGGTGTGGACACATCTCCAAGTCACTGCAAAATGGAAAAATATAAGATGCTCTCTCCTGGAACCTCAAGGGTCCTGCCCCTCTCACCTTCAGGTCTCTGGACCTCTGACTGACACTGTGCCTGCCCAGGTCCCTGTCTGTACCGCCACAGTACCTGGGTCCCATGTCCACCCCTGTCCTGCCCTTCTCTGGGTGAGGGCTGGCCTTCCCCTGCCTCTGCCTGGCTGCATCCTTGGTCGATCTCAAGTGCCTTGGCATGAACTCCACTCTCCTGCAGCCTTTAATCAGGGAATGATGGGGGATGTGTTCATATCCCACCCCACCCCTTGGCCGGGTGATGCTGAGATGTGGATTTTTAATAGTTCCCAGACTTTTCCAGGAGGCTTGGGTTTGGGTGGCCACAGTGGGAGCTGGTGTGATATACCTTCGCTGGCCGCCTTTCCTTCCTGTTCTCTGTGCCCCTACTTCCCACTCTAGAACTGCCCTGTTTCTCTGTTTTCGTGAAAGAGCTGGCCCTGTGCTGCCTCCCACTCTCCCAGTGCCCCTGCCTCTCCTGTGAGCCTGCTGCTGGTGAGGTTGGTGCTGACCTCTGTGTTGCTGGATAATGAGTCATTTATCTCTGGAGGAGAGGAAAGGCAGGTCCTCCACAGCCCTGATAAAATCTCCAAGTCTTGCAGTTTCAGGTCCTTCTCCTGGGATGCAATCCTACTGCCTGCCCAGGTGGCACAGTCCACATCCCCTCTTCTTGGGAATAGGGGCATGGGAAAGTGACAGAAGATACTGTTCTGGCTGCTGTGTTCACTGTGAGTAATAAATTGTCCATTTCTCCGATTCAGAGGTCTGTTTTTTGTTTTTTTGTTTGTTTGTTTTTCTCCCAAGATGAAGTCTTGCTCTGTTGCCCAGGCTGGAGTGCAGTGGCGTAATCTTGGCTCACTGCAACCTGTCTCCGCCTCCCGGGTTCAAGCAATTCTCCTGCCTCAGCCTCTGGGCTGAGTAGCTGAGATTAAACGCATGCACCACTATGCCCAGCCAATTTTTGTATTTTTAGTAGAGATGGGGTTTCACCATGTTGTCCAGGATGGTCTTGAACTCCTGACCTCGTGATCTACCCGCCTCTGCCTCATGAAGTGCTGGGCTTACTGGCGTGGGTCACTGCGGCCGGCCTTGGTCTGGTGTTTTGTACACATGTGCATGTGATGTGGAGCTGGGCAGGCCATCTTGTCAGTGTGCGAGGAGGGTTCAGTCTCTGAGCCTTCTTGGTTTCTGACTTCAGACCCAGTAGCCTCCCTCCTGGCCCAGCATGGCAAGCACAGTTTCCACTTAGACATTTGCCCTGGTTATTCTCTCTGCCTTGGATACTTTTCTCCCAGATTCTGCCTCTAATATATTTGAACATTTACCTCTTAATATTGTTTCCTATCTGTCTCTCCTGACAAGAATGTAAGCTGCATGAGGGCAGGAGTTTGTGTTTGGTTTCCAGCTACTGTCCCAGCTCCTAGAACGGTGCTGACACATAGGAAGCGTGTAGGCTGATTTATCTCACACCATTTATTCCAGGCTTCCTCACTTGTAGTAAAATATGATACCTTGTCTCAAATGTTCTCTTCCCCTTTCCAGACCCAGGTCTTTGCTCATGTAGATCACTGCTTCAGGCTGACATAAAAACCGTTCTCTTGTTAGGAAAGCTCAGCAATGGGAGCGGCAATCCTCCACCTGTCTCTTGTTAGGAAAGCTCAGCAATGGGAGCGGCAATCCTCCACCCGTCTCCTGCTCTCCTACAAGTCTTTCCTGGAGGTAGTGGGTTGAATGGTGGCCCCCAAAAAGATAGGTCCAAGTTCTAACTTCTAGAACCTGTGAATGCAACCTTATTTGGAAAAAGGGTCTTCGCAAATGTAATTAAAACACCTGGAGATGAGATCATCCTGGATTTAGGATGGGCCCTAAACCCAATGACTGATATCTTTATAAGAGAAAGGAGAGGGAGACGCAGAGACGGAGAGAAGAAGGTCATTGGAGATGGAGGCAGAGATGGGGGTGAAGTGTCTGCAAACCAAGGAATGCCAAAGATTGCCAGCAAACCGCTGGGGGCCAGGAGAGAGGCCTGGCCGATTCTCCCTCACAGACAGTGGAGGGAACCACCCTGCTGACACCTCAGTTTCAGGCTTTGGGACCTCAGAATTGTAAGAGAATAAACATCTGCTGTTTTGAGCCACACGGTTTATAGTCATTTATTATGGCGGCCACAGGAAAGTCACACACTGGGTATCCAAGAATGCAAGGCCTGGACGCTCCTGAACTGGGCATCTCAGGGCTGTGTTTGCAATAGGACACCCGCAGTAGGTGATGTTTCCCTCTGGATATGCCCTGAGCTCAGGGCTCCTCTTCCGCAGTGCAGCCCACTGGGTGCACCCATCTGTCTGGGCTCTCACAAACCCCCGTGGGGCACCATATTTGTGTTGCTTTGTTTCTGACCCAGTAGGGGCAGTGAAGGCTCAGCTGTCAGTGTCCAAGTAGGATCGGATCTGATGACGCCTCCTTTTCACAGGAGTTAGTTACTCCTCCCTCCTTTCTGCTTTCAACATCCCCTGCCTTGACGTTGCTCCTTTGCATGGCATTCGTTTGTCTTAGACCATGACGTCCTGAGAGAAAACTAGGCCCTGTTTGTGGCTAGGTTTGTTTTCAACCCCAGGGGCAGAGAGCTGCTTTACATAATTGATGAAAACTTTGTTTCTGTTTTCTAACTCTCGATTCAGTGCTCTTTTCACATGCTCCCAAGCTTACATGTCCCTGCTACCTTCAGAAACAAAACATGATATTAAAAGTTGCTGCTGGATATTGGGCAGCTGATATCTGACCTCATGCAGCAGAAGGGGAGGGTGAGGAATTGCCACTTGACATAGGGATCCCCTGAGCTTCCCTGATATTAACATGATGCGGGGGGCAGGGGGCTTGATAAAAAACAAAGCGCAGTCGGGAGCTCAGGGCTGCTGCTGAGAGTCTAATGGCTTCTCAGCCCCTGGTAACCTTACCCTTCAGGCCCTGCTCCCGCCTCCTCTCCTGCCTCCCACCCACAGCCAGTGCTCCACCAAACTTCACTGCCTTCCTGGAGTGCTCCTCCCTACTCTCTCCTCCGGCCCAGTCTCCTTCATCCCAGGAGACCCAGCTCACATCTCACCTGCCCTGGGGATGTGGGGCCTTCTCCCTCCCTCTCCAGAACTTCTCTTCCCCAACACTGCTCTGCAGAACGCTTGGTGTCCACCTCATCACACCCCTGCCCTGCGCCGGCAGGATCCGGGGCTACAGGCAGGTTCTGTGGGTCAGGGATGGGTCTTGCTCCTCTTCATCACCTACATGTTTGGAGCTTCCCCTGAACAGAGCAGTGCTCCGCAAATGATTGTGGATTTTAACTCGGTCGGGCTGATTGCTCAGTTGTGTACCAGAGAAATGGTCTTGTTGGAAAGAGCCTGCGGAATGCCAATTGCAGCCTCAGTGAAGATGATAGAAGACGTCACTAAGCAACGATGGCTTATAACTCTTTGTTCAATAATAGTTAAGTTTGGCCCAAACAAGGTCAGTATCGGAATAAACTATGCAGTAAGTGAAAATTGTTTTATTTATTTTATGGCATGTTTATTTTAGAATATACAAAATGGTCGAGGAGTCATGAATCCTCAAGAAAATATGAAAAAGACAAGTGTTTATAAAGCCATACCAGCATCCAATCAACGTCAGAAGCTTTAAGAGCTGAGAAGTGTCCAAACATCAAGTGTACTTGAGAAGCGATTTCCACTGGATTCCATTGCTCTCAAGTCGGCCCAGGCCCTGCAGCCTTACTTTTGAGGATGACTTCTCCAAGAGGTCTGTCTGCCTGTCTGTCTGTTTGGGGACAGATGATTGATGAGGTCAGCAAGCTGAACGTTGTGACCTCTCCAGCCCGAAACCTTTTTCAGGTACCAGAAATGGGAATTTTTATATTATCTCATTTAACATGTCTTGGAGAGCAGGACCCCAGGGTTGTTTTTTGTTTTTTCTTTGTTTTTGTTTTTGTTTTTGTTTTGAGACGTAGTCTCGCTCTGTCGCCCAGGCTGGAGTGCAGCGGCTCACTCTCGGCTCACTGCCAGCTCCGCCTCCCGGGTTCACGCCATTCCCCCGCCTCGGCCTCCTGAGGACCCCAGGTTTTTAAGTCTTTGGGTTTTCTCATAGGTTTCGCACTGAGTTGTTGATCAATAAACATTTTTTGAATCTAATAAGAAAAGAAAACTCTTGGTGGGAAAGAGTTCTAAAGTTGAACTTTCTCCACCCTGACCTTGAAACCGGTCAAAGAGCCCCACCAGAGTGTGGGATCAGTAGCTCTGCCGCTACCAGCCAATGTTTCAAATTTTCATTGTCGTATGTACAGCGGATGCCTTTAAGTAAAGCAGTCAGCATCCAGAATATCAACAGTTACTTGGAATATTTTGGTGAGATAGCCGACTTCCCCAGAAATGAGCCTGACGTATACACACCATCCCCAGTGTTGACACTGGGAAAATGGGAGAATCTCATGTTCGCCCTGAACCTGGGGCAAACGTGTTTGGTCCCTTCTTCACTGAGGCTGAACAAAGCCCATTCCAACCCTGCAATACAGAAGTGTGGCCCAAGGTGCTGAGTGAGTGGGGAGGAAGGAGTCACTGCATAGGCCGCTGGCAACTGTTCGTTCAGAGTCCTTTGTTCGTTTGTTTTTGCATAGACAAACCTGACCCCGTAGGCATACTCACTTCATCAGCTCCTGTGTCCCACGTGCCAGCAACAGAATAATGTGCCTGAGTAGTGTTCTCTGAGTGACTGAACTTTCCTGCTGTTCAGGCAGTCTAATGATGGGTCAGGAGAGCCTAAGAGGTATTTGAATTGAGGAGGATTTTGATTTCACTAGAATAATCAGACTTCAGGATATTCACCATTAACACCAACTATGTGCAGCCCTCACTGTGAGTGCCTCTCTTCCTACACAAGTTTATTGTTAAATTGTATTTGTCTTGTTTTTTTTTTCCTGGAAAGGCAAGCGAGATGTCTAGGGGATTTTATGTCTGATAAATGCTTCTAGTTGAAGATGTATTACAAAGAAGTTTAGACTCCCCAGGACTGAGTGGGGTGATGAGTGTATTTCTAGAATGGCTTCACCATTTGCTGGAAGACAGAATATGCTTCATGGCCATCTCCTACCAATTTTTGGCTCCTTACTTCTCCCCAATGCCCCACCCCTACTCTTTCCAACATCAGCTATTTTTATGTTTTCCCCAAGTCTGAAGCTTCTCGATATATGCAGTTTTGCAGAGACCCACAATACTGTTTTCTTCTAGATAGCTGAGTTCTGTGGTTCTAAGATGAATAGCTAGTTCTAGCTTTAATGTGGAATTGAGAACATGGTGTTTTGGGTAGGTGAGAGACAGAAAATCATGATATGTTAGAACTGGAAGCACCGTGTTTCCTAAATGAGGGAAAGCGGAGAGGAGGCAGGTATTAGTGGTGAGGAAATCAGTCAGGAGACAGTTACCAGTGGATGCGAAGAAGGATAAGGGCACCAGAAATGGAGGTGCGACTACAAAGTGGTAAAAGAACGTTGACCACCTGCTCAGGGCCAACGACCTGAAGGCAAGCAGGTCAAAACAGGGAGCTCCTGGCAGGTGAAATTTATGACAAGATAGAGTGCTTGTTGCAGTGTCTATTCTTTTTTTTTTTAGAGACAGGGTCTCATTCTGTCACTCAGTCTGGAGTGCAGTGGCTGCATCATGGCTCACTGCAGCCTTGGCCACCTGGGCTCAAGCAGTCCTCACACCTCAGCCTCCCCGGTT